GGGGCAGCGGGGCAGGATCAGCCCTGCCCTTGGGCGCCGGGCCTCGGGCTTGTAAAACCTGAGCCAGCCCGCCTTGCTTCGTTGTTCTCGGTATTTCCCCAGGGCCGGCCCCACGTCCCGCAGGCACCGGGAGGGGCCGGGCCGCTCCCTCGGCCTCGGTGCCTCTGCCTGATGCCAGGACGCAGCAGCAAAGTTTTCTTCCAGTTTGCATTCCGTTCCCAGCTTTCAGTGGACATCGCTCTGTTGCATAATACTTATACTAAATACCTAGCAATTTAGATTAAACCGGTTTCCCATCAGGAGTGCAGGCAGTTCGAATGCGCAGGGATTGAACAAGCTGTGTGGAGACTTGTAGAGCAGCTGGTGGTGAGGAGGGTGGAGGTGTGTGCAGTGAAAAGAAGCCTCCTGTTAAAAAGCTTCTGAGACTTGCTAATATCTACTACATCTGTCTGGCATAAGCACACTCAGATTGCTGAAGTGAGCTGCCAGTGCTACTCAGAGACAAGGAGAATCATGCAGGAGACACCACATATTTGGAAGTAATAATCATGAGATTATTACTTTAGGTCTAAACATAGACTGGAAACCATCATGGAATGATGCTGGACTGTAGCTTTGCATTCTGCAGCAGTTAAGATGGTATGTAGAGCTGAGCTAGATGTGCTGTTTTGTGTTTATGCCTACTAAAAACCACCTGACTTCGGATTCTACCTTCCTGGACAACAGTAAAAGCTGCCCATTGTATCTAATTTGGTAATTGCTGAAGGGTTCTTCACAGTGTCTGGCTAGTTTGGTTTTCATTTTAAAGGAAAAGTAAGATTCTTTTGATTAATTTAGGAAAAGCTCACATGAGGAGGCATGGAAGGTGGCATGCTCTGCAGTAACAGGGTCCACATCTTTGTCAGGTCCCTTAAGAAGAACTTTCAATGTCTAATTGCAACATGTGATACTTCTGTTTTCAGCTTGTCATGCAAACAAGTTAATAATTAATGAAATTTAGCAAGAGTCTGTCTTGATATCTCTGATCTGCTGAGTTGCATGTTTTGGTCATTTGAGTTCATCTTGCATTTTCAAAGTTTGAATAGGTGCTTCTTCCAAGCTGTTAAGTTTATTGTATCTCACCATGTTTCCTCTCAAGCCATCCTTTCAGCTTTTTAAATCAGAAGCATCTCTAGCTTCTATTTCACCTCAGACTTCAAAACCTTCTTCTCTTCCTCTTTCTGAGGAGGTGCTTCCCAATTTGTACACTTATTCTTGCCCTGCCTTTATGTTCCCTGCACTGTTTGTGGTTCACTGTCTCGGATGTTTTGGCAAGCTCATTATCTCTTCCCATGCTTTTGTTTCATATCCTCTTCTTCTGTTTTCCTTTGTTATCAACTAGAATGAAACTTAAAAAACATTTCAGAAGTTTGAGGGACCTCTGACCCACAGATCAGGGTAGGAACCATCATCTTTCTGATCCATGAAGATGATACAGAATCCATTACCTCTGTAATAATGCTGCTTGTGTTTTTGTTTGAAAGATGGTCCATATGGGATTTTTGCTGGAAGAGATGCATCCCGAGGTCTTGCCACTTTCTGCTTGGACAAGGAGGCTCTGAGGGATGACTATGATGACCTCTCTGATCTCGATGCTACACAGCAAGAGACCTTGAGGGACTGGGAGTCACAATTCACTTGTAAGCAATTTTAAACCTATTTACAAAGCAGTAGCTAACTAATGTGTAATAAGGGAAACAATGGTTAAAAGGCTGTAATCAGCTAGAAGCATCAGTCTGGAAACTTACTTTGAGTTAATTCCTCAGTTCACTAATTATTACTAGAATTTGTTACTCAAAATAATTAAGAAATGTCAGGTTTTCCTTCTGTGTTCTCCCTCCCTCTGCCTCTTACAGAACCACACTCTGCCATAGGATGTGATCTGTAAGACCACCCAAAACATTGACAGGAATTGGAAATAAAGAGCATGTTTTTGATATAGTTAATACCCCATCTACAGAGACAATTAGATTTCGGTGCTCTCAAAAAGGAAAGCTTACGTTGTGTTCAGCTTCTCAGAAGCAAGTAATATTTTAATTTTTTATTTCTTGAGGTTTTTTAGTTTTGAAGACTGTTTAAACTAGGCCTTTTCCCCTTAGAGATCTTGATAAAGCTTTTTTTTATTCTAAATAAATTATACTGCATGGTCTTGCTTTGTAAGATTCATGGACAACTCAGTCCAGCTGACTTTCTCTCCTAGGAAGTGATGAGCAATGGGTAAGTGCCACCTCTGCACTTGTACACAGCCTGGTCATTACTGTGACAGCAATGGCTAGAGTGGCAGAGGGACAAAGGCAACTTGCATGCTTAACCTATTTGTTCTAAAAGTAACAGAAGCAAGTCAGTCTCATAGTTGCCTTGTCTTTCTACATTTAGTATTAAATGTTTCTTAAAAGAAGCAATTCCAACTATTTTGTGTCATGTGCCTAAACTTGCTGCTCAAAAAGATGAACTTCAAACCTGTTTTATGGAAATTGCTATGTTGACCTGATACCAGGGCATGCCTACTGGAGTGATTTTTTTTTTTTTCTCCTATTGTGTATCTTGATGATGAAAAATAATTATTTCCTATCTCATGATGCCTTTTAGAAAAGTGAACACCAAAGGGACTCCTTCTACTGTCAGATAAGACAGAAAAATATTATGTATCAGTTGTTTGTCTTCATGAATTGTTACATATACATACATATATGATGGGAATTTCATATACCAAAAAAAGTAGTATAGTGGAAATATTTTATTTTTTTTTTAATCTAGTGTTTGTTATTAAAGATTTATTATCACTAGCTGGAATGGAGCTTTTCTTCACATAATGTCATTAGACAGTCCTGACCTGATGTGCCCCTACTATTTTGGCACTCTCCCTGTCTTAATCAAGGCTGTTAATCATGCCACACTGAATGCCTGTTTTATGATGCTAACAAGTACACTGCAGAAACCAGAACTTTGCTACCAAATATC